TACATTGAAATACTGCAAAGTTTCTTCTTACTTCACAATACCATAAAATTAAACATCAACAATAGGAAGATCAATGGAAAAAGAGCAAATGCCTGGAAATGGAATAACACTGTCCTTAAAAACTGTTGAGCAACAGAATAAATAAAAAATAAATAAATTCCTTGAATCAAATGAGAATGAAACCACAATTACCAAAATCTGTGGGACACAGCAAAGGCAGTAATCACAGGGCAACTTATAGCAATAAATGAGCACACCAAAAAAGAAGAAAGAGCCAAAACCAACACTTGAATATCTCCAACATTTAGAAAATGAGCAGTAAATTAAAAAGCCCACCATCACTAGAAGAGAAGAAATAAAGATTCCAGCAGAAATAAATGGAAAAAAATAGATAAAAAGACAACAGACAAAATATAGAAGAATAGAAATATGTTCTTTTGAAAGCTTAATAAAATTGACAAACTATTGGCAAACTTAAAGGAAAAGAAGGAGAAGATGCAAATAACGTGAATAAGAAATGAAATGGGCAACTTCACAACAGAAGCAATTGAAATAAAAAGGATGATATCAGGATACTATGAAGAACTATACTCCAACACATTTAAAGACCTAGAAGAAATGGATAGAATTCTAGAAAGACTACTTACCAAAACTAACAGACTCAGGTGGACAATTGTAACAAAAGAAGGAATTGAACAGGTTAAAAAAAATTACCAGCAAAAAAATGTCCTGGCCCAGATGGTTTCACTGAAGAATTCTACCAAACATCCAGAGAAGAGTTGACACCAGTCCTACCCAAACTATTCCAGAACATAGAATATGATAGAATCCTCCCAAATTCATTTTATGAACCAAGTCTAGCCCTCATTCCAAAACCAGTGAAAGACCCCACTAAAAAGTAAAACTACAGACAGGTATCCCTCATGAATGTAGACGCAGAAATCAACAAAATCCTAACCAATAGACTCAAACAGCATATCAAAAAAATAATACATTATGACCAAGTAGGATTCATATGAGGTATGCAAGGATGGTTTCACGTTAGAAAAACCATCAACGTAATCTGTCACATAATAACATACAGAAAAAGAACCACATGATCATATCAATCAATGTAGAAAACACATTTGATAAAATGTAACACCTATTCCTGATAGAAACTCGGAGAAAAAGGAATAGAAGAGAAATTCCTCAACATAATAAAGGACATTTATGCAAGATGAACAGCTAACATTATTCTTGATGGAGAGAAACTGAAACCATTCCCCTTGCAAACAGGAACCACACAGGGATGCCCTCTATCACCACTTGTATTCCACATTATATTGGTAGTCCTAGCCAAGTCAATAAGGCAAGAAAGAGAAATCAAAGGCATCCTAATTGGCAAGAAAGAAGTAAAACTATCTGACTTGACGGCAAAACAACAACAACAACAATTTGTAGGTGATATGATCCTATACAGGAGCTCTGGTAGCGTAGTGCCTAAGGCACTTGACTACTAACCAGAAGGCTGGTGGTTCAAACCCTCCAGCCACTTCTCAGAAGGAAGATTGGGCAACCTACTTCTGTAGTGATACTACCTTGGAAACCCAAGGAGGGGTCGCTATGAGTCGGTCCGACTCAATGGCAAATAACAACAACAACATGATCCTATACAGAGAAAACACAAGAGAGTCAGCAAGTTAAATACTGGAACTAATTAAGAGATTTAGCATAGTGGCAGGATACAAGGTCAACATACAAAAATCAGCTGTATTCCTCTGCACCCGCAAAGAGATCTCTGAAATGGAAATAAGGAAATCAATACCATTTACCATAGCTCCCCCAAAAATAAAATAATTGGGAATAAATCTTATCAGGAACACAAAAGACCTATACAAAGAAAACTACAAAACACTACTTTAAGAAACTATGAGATCTATATAAAGGGATAAACATACCATGCTCATGGATAGAAAGATTGAACATTTTGAAAATGTCAATACTACGCAAAGCAATCTATAAATTAAGTGCAATCCTAATCCAGGTTCCATCAGCATTCTTTAAAGACATGGAAAAACCAATCACTAATTGTATGTGGAAAGGAAAGAGACTTCGGATAAGCAGAGCCCTACTGAAGAAGAACAAAGTAGCAGTTCTCACATTCTTGGATCTCAAAACCTACCTTACAGCCACAGTAATCAAAACAGCATGGTACTGATAAAACAACCGACACATATACCAGTGGAGCAGTATTGAGAACCCAGAAATAGATCCATCCACTTATGGTAAGCTAATCTTTCACAGAGGGCTTAAATCCATTAAATGGGGGAAGAGATAGTCTCTTTCACAAATTGTGCTGGTAAAAGTGGATATCCATTTGCAGAAAAAGGAAACAAGATCCATACCTCACATCATACACAAAAAGACTTGAAGTCTAAAACAAAAAGTTCATGAAAGAAAAAATAGGGGCATTTCTACATGGAGAATAGAAGGGCTATATATGCACAAGGACATAGTTCAGGGGGCAGGAGTGCATGGAGGGAAGGACACAGGGAAG